ACCAGGTTACAATTTGGGCTTATCTTTAGAGTAATGGAAAGCAAGCGAGGTAGCTTGATTTCAAGTAGGTTCCTCTGGCTGCTGAGTGAAGAGTGGAAATAAGGGGTGGAGGTAAGAGTGGGAAGCAGGAAGACCAGTTTGGTGGCTGTGACAGAAATCTAGCTATAAGATGAGGAGAGCACAGATTGGGGGTGTTGTAGGCAGAAATAGGCTGATGGGAGAAGTCTTTAGGAGGAATTGGCAATGGTTCAGATCTGGGATGTGAGGAAAGAGATGCCAAAGATAACACTTGGATTTCTGGGTTTCTTCACCTGATAGATTATAATATTATTAAATAAGATAGGACAAAGACAACCAGATTCGGGGATGAGAGTAAGGTGGAATTGGTCTTTCTTGTGTCCAATTTTGAACATGCTGACTTTGAGATGCTTTTGAAATATCCAAGTGAACATGTCAAAAAAGGAGTTGGAAAATGGGTCTAGATTCATTTACAAGTGAGAACTGGGTAGAAGATAGGTGTCTGTGAGTTATCTGTGGGTTGGTTAGAACTGAAGCTATAGGCAGGGATGAGATCACCCGGAGAGAGTGTGTAGAGAGGAGGAGGAAGTAAGCCTTAGAATCACCAGTGCTGAATGGCAGGAATAGTAGCATGAGTCTGCATAGAAAAGTGGGCTAGACTTGCTAAGGAAGAAGTAAGAAAACCAGGAGATGGTAGTGACCTGAAAGCCAAACCAGAGAGCTTTCAAAGAAAGAGCGTTCGACAATGTCAAAAGCTGCTGAGGGAACACATAAGATGAGGCCTGAAAACTGCCCATGGAATTTAGTGTCATGGTGATGACTCAAGCTTAAAACGGTTTGATGAAACAATCAGGGTGAAAGCCAGATTACAGGAAGTTAAAGAGTAAATTGTAAGAAAATGGAAGCAGAGTATGGAAAAGGCTTTTGAAAAGTTTATGTAGGAGAAAGGACTGCTAGGGCAAAAGCTAGAGAAAGATGTAGGATTGAGAGAGGTTTTGTTTTGTTTTGTTTTGTTTTTAATGGCAGACAAACGAATAGACAGAGCAAACAGAAAATTCATAAACACAATTAAATACATGTGGAAGTTTAGAATATGATAAAGGTGGCATCTCAAATCTCTAGGGCTGAGACTTCTTAATAAATGGTATTGGGATACTTAAAAGCCATGTAGGAATTATTAAATTGGATCCATACTTCACATTATATAAAAGATTAAATGCCAAATGGATTAGATATCTAAATATAAAAATGAAACCATACAAGTTCTAAAGGAAAATGTGTAAATTCCTTTATTTCTTGAGAGTGGGGAAAGGAAGTTCTAACTCAAAACTAGATGCAATTAAAGATTGATAAATGTGATTATCTAAAAAGAAGAAACTTTTGCATAGCTAAAAACACAACAAATAAGCAAACAAAAAATTATAAACAAAATCAAAAGACAAATGACAAACCTGGAAACATTTGTAACTTGTATTATATATTATGTGTATTACAGGCAAAGGAATGTATAAATGGATATAGATATAAAGAATCAGTTGAGAAGGAACATTGACTTGAGACAGGAAAGGAAGGAAAGGGAATGTCAATAGTGTGACTGTCCTGTGAACATGCTGGGACAGAGGACATGGTATAGAAAGACAAGAAGGAACTGTCAGCAACTTCTGTGTTAAATGAAGGGAAAGTGGAGTTAGTGGTTTGGATGTGGATGGGGTTGGATATTTGATAGCATTAGGAAACAAGTTAGCAGCCAAGAGGGTAAGGAGGGAAATTTGCAACAATCGTGATGGAGGTGAGTGAGGAGCCTGCGCTGACCAGAGAAATGCCACCAGAAGACCAGACCCTGTTGAGCAAGTGCAGTTGGTAAATGTGAAGGAAGGGTCAGCAAGAAACAGTTTAATTTATATTAAAAATATTATATTCAACTCTAAGTTTCTCAAGTAAAACGGATGGACGATGTTAGACACAGAGAAAGAGAAACTCAGAAGATTCAGAGGCATTTTGGAGACACCTGTTAGGAGAAGGCTAGTGGCAAGTTTCTTATCACCTTAATTCAGTACATACTCTCACTGCCTTTTGCAACGTGGTTGGGTAGTAAACCCTTGCTCAGAACTCAAAGTCCTAATGCTTCCTAATGCTATTAATCTCTTGGAAGGGCTGGTACAAGGGCGTGTCTGCCTCTGAATTGACTGACTGTGGGTGTGGTAGACAACTAAGCTTTTGCAATTTGCTAGTACCTTCCTTGCCCCGCGCCCCCCTCACCCCCCAGTCCCATTAAGTTTGTATTAAATATGCATTAACAGTTTTCTGTATGAAAACTTCTTCGTGCCAGGGCTGGTGAGAATGGCTTTTACTTTATTTAGCGTTGTTGGAGCTTAGGGGGATGGTAGGTTATATGCTAAGAGAAAGAATATGGACCTTGGGAGTTATTATTTCAAAGGGGACAAGGCTTTCCTGTTTAGGATCTTGGGATCCTTAATCAGAGCAGAATACTGATTCATGGAAAAGATTAGGTAGTCTGTAGTGACAATATAATTTCAAAGAAAAAAACAAAAAAGCCATTCTTCTGGGGTTCAAAGGAAGAAAAAGTCTCCCGGTATCCTGCCTGGAAAGCTCGTGTCTGCATCTACGCACTGCCAGAGCACAGCTCTGCGGGCCCACGGGGCTTCAAACCAAAAGAGAGAAACGTGGACAATGTTTCACTGGTCCGCTTTGCTTGATGGCTGTTTGCTGGGAAATTGATGTTCCCAGGTTGGGAGGGAGGTGCCTTCAGAGTGCCCATGTAAGAAACGTCCAAAACTGTAAAGAATTTTTCTGAGTTTATATGAGCTAAACAGAGGATATGCCTGGAAGCAAGATCTCAACAGACTGAGAAAAATGCTTCCAAGAAGTGAGTTTGCAGCTTCTTTCATGCATTTGGAGTTAATGAGGGAATGCAAGGAAGATTTCCTGCAGGTGGGAGAAAGCAAGGAAAGGATTGGATTGCAGAACAGTTAACAAGATTATGTGTCCTCCCGAGGGTGGTCATGCTTTAGAAGGAAGGGTCTGAAAAGAGGCATTGCAAAAGTATGTTGACTCAGATGACCAGAAACAATGGACTGGCCTTGCTTAAGGCAAAGACAAACCTTTTACTAAATAAGTTATATGCCTAGGGTGTGACTACCTCCCATGACCTGCGTAGTCTGGAATTTATTAGCAGATCACCTTGTGAGGTTACTTTCCACAGAATCCCTTTTTCATCCACAAGA